CCTATAGAAGTGTACAAATATGACTTGTGTCTACCTATAGAAGTGTACAAATATGACTTGTGTCTACCTATAGAAGTGTACAAATATGACTTGTGTCTACCTATAGAAGTGTGTCTATGTCTACCTATAGAAGTGTACAATATGACTTGTGTCTACCTATAGAAGTGTACAAATATGACTTGTGTCTACCTATAGAAGTGTACAAATATGACTTGTGTCTACCTATAGAAGTGTACAAATATGACTTGTGTCTACCTATAGAAGTGTACAAATATGACTTGTGTCTACCTATAGAAGTGTACAAATATGACTTGTGTCTACCTATAGAAGTGTACAAACATGACTTGTGTCTACCTATAGAAGTGTACAAATATGACTTGTGTCTACCTATAGAAGTGTACAAATATGACTTGTGTCTACCTATAGACTCAAGTACAAACATAATGTAATTTTACTTACGGTCTCAAGTATTATCACAACTTATGTCTAACTACAGACCCAAGTACCGCTACCTATGGACTCAAATATGAATATACACTATATCTACCTCTAGACTCGGGAACAGATACTCTATAGAATCTATAGACGCTAGTATGTACATGACCTATATTTACCAATGGATTAAAGTACAAACATCTACTTCTTACGAACTCATGTATAAACGTGAACCATGTCTACCTATAGACTCTACTACAAGCATGATGCACATCTATCTATGGATTCAGGTATAAAGAAGACTTAAGTATAAACACCGCTTATGCAACCTATAGGCTCAAGTATGAACATCTATCTATGGACTCAAGTATGAACACAAACTATACCTACCTTTAGACTCAAGGAGATATTTTATGTACGTCTGCCTATAGACTAGGATGCATACGAGCTATGTCTATTAATTTTCCAGTAACTCCAGCAGCCAAGGTGGCTCTAAATGTAATGCCCTGTATTTCTTTGGATCTTATTGGTATGGGCAAAAGGTGTGGGCCCATGTAGTCTGAACAGAACATGGCCTTCATATACCATCGCCAAGGCTTGCACCCTAGGGAGGACACTCTAGCTTCATCATCAAAGGACTGAATTTTGACCAAACAGAGCATTACATTTATTTTGTGAGACAAATGGCTGCCAACTATTATACAACTGAAAAAAACATATGTGAAAATTTAACATAATTTTTCAGACCAGCAGAATTTCCACCAAAAAGCACTCAATAGAGAACTAGAGCTATGATACTTAATAAATCAAGAAAAGTTCAAGTGACTTATTTGATTGATCGACTGCAGAGTTTTACGTCAAAACACCTGGCCCTGATTAGCATTTCAATGCAAAACTCTTCAGTTGGTTAAATAGGTAAGTCACTTGAACTTTTCTGGAATTGATTATTGAATATTATCATTATTACTGAAATGATTGTTTTAAACACTGGATATAATTTAAACATTCAGCACTCTGCATCATCTTCCCCTTTTACTGTATATGGAATCCCCTCAAAATATAGTCTTTTATGTATTAGTTCTATATATTTGAAATTTCAGTAGCCTGGCTCTCAATTTTACTGTAGAGTGTTTTAGTTGTTGCCATTATATATATTAAAGCTTTTGGTGTCTGTTGGATTTTAAATCATCCCATCTTAAGTAGATCTGATTTTTTTTTCACTATTAGCTTGTATCTTGCATTGTGTTGTTATTGATTTTGCAATGATCAGTGATTTTTATGTATGAGCCTAGTCTTAGGTTTACTGTCAGGAATTGTGAAATCAGTGCACTCTCAATGCATTTTCTTCTAAATGAATTAGGGTGGAAACTGAGTGAGCAATAACTAGCCAATACTAGATGAGATATCTCTAGATATGGGATGAAAACAATCTACCACTGTGCAGCAAAAGAAATAAGATAAAAAAAAAAAGTAAAGGGAACAACAAAAAGACTGCAGTCAGTTTCTTCTGGCTTGTAATAAAGTTCCCTAATCCATTTCTTTCAATCAACAAACTAGCATAGGTCAAACAACATATGTCTTCTGTTCATTATGACAGTCGCACTGCTCTTTGTCAACTCTTTAAGCACTTTTTATAGCTTGAGTGACAGTTCAAATTTGCATAGGTTAAGAGATTCTCATGAAAGTCTATCCAACTTGGAGATCTATCTCTTTTTTTTTAAGTATACGACTTGTAAAGCCACCATTTTCTTATTGGGAACATTTTACATGCAAGACATGTCCAAATTCGTTTTCGTGCCGGAGGTAAGCCATTTTCTCTGGTGTTACACTTTTCATTTTGTCTTCCTCAAGGGATTTAAATCTGTTTTACTTATTCTACAGGTGTTCCCTGAAGTAATAAAAAAAAAAAATAAAACAAAGATTGAGAAACATTGGTTTAAATAAAATATATTTTAAAATTTTATATCCACTAAAAATTCTAAAGGGAACATTGGCAACCCCCTCCCAAAATAGGGGAGTTTAGCCTTGTTTTTGCAGTAATAGTAATAGAAAATAATTAAAAACATTTTTTGCTATTATTATTACTATTACTCCTATTATTACTGCTATTATTTCTGTTGTTTGTACTACTACTACTATTATTATTATTATTGCTATTAGTATTATTTATTATTGTAATTATTATTGTAATTATTATCGCTGTTGTTATTATTACTGATATCATTTCTAGTATTAGTATTATTACTGTTATTATTCAAACAAAGACACCATAAGTAAATAACAAAATGTAAATCTAAAATGAAAAGAAACCATCCAAGGTAAGCCATTTTCTCTAGTGTTACAATGACCAACTAAGTTTTATAGTGGCACTCCCCCATATTTAAAAGGTCTTCTTTTCTCACATTTCTCAGTGCTAATTTGAGTCTTGGGGCATTGTATTCAGTTTCTTCTGGGTTGTAATAAGATTCCTTAATCTGTTTCCTCAAACCTTCAACCAACAGAGTAGCATGTCAAACAATCCAATGACATGTCTCCTTTTTGCTAAAACAGTAGCACTTTTCTCTGTCGCCTCTTTAAGCAATTTTTTATAGATTGACATTTCAAATTTGCATAGGTTAAAAGAGATTCTCGCAACAATCTATCCAACACCGAGATCTACCTTTTTTTAAATATACAACTGCAATTTTTTTTACTATTAATATTACTATCATTACTATTACTGTTATTATTTAAAAAAAGACACCATAAGTAAATAACAAAATGTAAATCTAAAATGAATCTTATTAAGAAACAATAATGAAAGTTCCCTAATCTGTTTCCTCCAACTTTCAACCAAAAGAACAGCATAAGTCAAACAATCCAACTTTTAGTGTTCACCCCCCCCCAAAAAAAAAGTTTTATTATAATTTAGTGATCTGGTCAATGGCTAAAAAGGTAAACATAAAGGCTTACCAGCAAGAAGTTAAAAAATACTTTGAAGTAACTTCAGTCGGGAGTTGCTGGATTTTTGCAGTATAGTTTAATTTTCAGTCAGTGAATGGTGGTAAACGAACAGCTCTCAAGCAGATTTCTACAGCAACTGACTTTGCCAGCCAACTCGCTTCGTTTTGACGACAACCAACAAATATGAATAACTGGATGAATGACCTCCACTTGTAAGATCATGTGAGCCAGAAATCAGAAGTTTCATTCATAAAAATTGATTCTCTTAAGTTTACAGTATCTTTTGAACATCCAGTTTTGTCTGCTGCTCTTACTACGTCTGTGTTTTTTTTTCTTCCATTGCTCTTGTTGAATTTCTTGTGCTTCACTAATTTCAAGCGAGTTATACCTTTTCCTGATTTTGGTCATGATTCAATTTCCATTATTAAGTTTTATAGCTATTGTCTGTACCAATTTCTTTCTTTTAAATGTTGCCATAGAACCTTTTTCTAAGCCAAAATTACATAAAAATAGCTTAAAATACTGTGGGGAAAATTGTGAAAATGGCCTACCTTGAAAACGCCTGTGAATCTGTGCATTGTGCAAACTCCGATTACTCAACGGTAAAAAGAACCAAAATGGCAGTACCCATGTTTTATGCCGGGCGGTCTCAGACAGTTAATGCAAAATCTCATCTTGTCATTCGCATGCAAATTATGATCAGTCCTCGGCTGTATAAAGCAGGCATGTTTTTGTTTCTGAGGACTGAGTTTTTGCTCGTGACAAGGTTGGATGTCTGACACTATTTTGTTGGTTACCCTCCTTGCATTTCCTATCTGCTATTCTCAGTTGAGTCGTTGCTTTACCAGCTCAAATACTAAAGAGTAAATGATTTAATAAAATCACTACTGGCTTCAACTACAGCCCCTAGACGACTTTGAAATTTCTTGCGACTTTTCTGGATGGTCTCTTTGTTTAAGTTTGTGATTGCTGCCATAATCCTTGCCCTTAGTTCATCTTTGGCATTACAAGGAGTTTTGTTGGTCTCACAACTGTGCTCCACATATAATAATCAAGGGGGGGTGCAATTTGGGGAGTTAGGTGGCAAAATCTAACAAGTGATGTGATTACAGAAATTGTTTGACAACCATGACTGGGTTCTGCTTGTGTGGTATGGTGCAGAATCCTGTTGCCAGACATCAGGTCTTCCAGCAGCCACCTACTTGACCCAGGACAGCACTACCTCCTCAAAGCACTTGATGTAGGCCACAGTTGGAAGGGATCACTCCAAACACCTTCATAATCACCATTAGATTCATCCAACTCTTTCCGAATCCTCTGCACCTGACACCCAAATACTCATACTGGAGCTTCTGGTGTGAAAACCTATTTTTACACTTTTATAACGTTTTTTTACCTTGGTTTCGGGGTTAACTCTTTGTCCGTAGCTGGGACCCCCTAACAGGTGCTACCATCTTGGGTCAGGATGGACCTGGGAATACCAGCAATTAAGAAACCACCTGATTAGAGGCCTTGCTGCTGAACGTAGTTTATCATCATACCCAGGACAAAAAGGGTTTTTGGTGGGGTTTTATAGTTGTTTCTTTGATATATTGAACTATTCATGTAAAATATACTTTTCTTCATGAACAGTGAGAAAGATAAAAAGAGAAAAATTTAAGAATTAAGTAGAAAGACAGAAAATGAACATAAGGGAAAACGAAAGAAGGGTGAACAGAAAGGAGGAGAGGGTGAACAGAAAGGAGGAGAGGGTGAACAGAAAGGGGGAAAGGGTGAACAGAAAGGAGAGGGTGAACAGAAAGGAGAGGGTGAACAGAAAGGGGGAGAGGGCAAAAGAAAGAGGGAAAGGGTGAACAGAAAGAAGGAGAGGGTGAACAGAAAGAAGGAAAGGGCAAAAGAAAGGGAGAAAGGGTGAACAGAAAGGAGAGGGCGAAAGAAAGGAGGCCAAACAGAAAGGAGGAAAGGCCGAACAGAAAGGGCGAACAGAAAGGAGGAAAGGGCAAAAGAAAGGAGAGGCCGAACAGAAAGGAGGGTGAACAGAAAGAAGAAAAGGGCAAAAGAAATAAAACTAAAAGGATAAACAAAGACAAAAGCAGCAAGAAATTGAGAAAAGCCTGGAAACATAAAGAAACTAAATAAATATAGAAAGAAAGAGAAACATTTCTCAAAAAGGAAAAAGAAAAAAAAGAAAATTCTAGAAAATGAGGCTAGGACCAAGAAAACAAGAAAGAAAAATAAAGAACTATTTACTTTATTGTATTTGATTCGTGTGAATTCCTTGATCTTAATAAACTGTAATTAACATCATCTCATTAAGAGTCAAGAAGAGGCAAATGGGGGAAAATAAAAGAAAATATGGAAAAAAAAATAAAGACATCCATTTTGAGTATCCATTTTATCTATCTATACATACACATTACCTGCCATCTTATCTCTTTCTTTTCTTCTTGCCCACCTTTCTTTGGTTTGGGGTATAAATAGATTACCTTGGTAACAGATTTACAGTACCCTAGAAGTACAGGGTGGTGTTGTAGATATATAGAGAGAAGAGTGAATGAAGGAGAGAATAATTAGAGAGAAATATTAAGTATTTAAGCTAGAAGGAATACATCAGATAAGAGAGGTTCAGTAAGTGTTTTAGAAGAGAAACAATAAGAAATGATTGAAGCTGTGAGTAAGTATAGTAGATTTTCATACTAAAGTTCACCCCAGACAAGGCTCAAGAGCCAATCAAGGTATCAAATTACTGAATGACGTGAAGATAGAATACAGTGAATACAAGGGACATAGATAATGGCTGATCGTTGATTTAAACAGGTTTAGATTGTAGTGCTCAGGGAAGCATTTATGTAGGAGTCTGTTCAACAAAATAGCATTTCTTGGGGAAAAAGCTGTCATGATGGAACTTCCCCCTTACAACTGGAATACAGAGGAAATGTAGGTGATACAGCTGCATGGTCATAGCATGGAGAGTCAAGCTGTAAAGGTCTCAACTGGTGGATCTGAAGAATTTAGCACATCTGAACATTTGCGTTGGAAATAGTGATAGAGCAGTAACAGCCTTGCAACATTCCCTCTGTGGAGAAAGAAATGGCAGGATGGAAAATATCATACCCCACAAGATGGTATAAATGATTTTGAACTCTATCAAAACCGTGAAAGTGAGGATTGAACAACCCCAGACTAGATATGGCAGCAATAGCCCTATTTTAGGTGTAATCTGACTATTAAAGGTGGTAGTAAGTCAGAGAGTCGAAGACAAAGGTTCAAAAAGGCAAAATGTTAAACAAAGTAAAAATGAACATCATGATTTTAAAAACTCTGTTCAAATAATCAATTAAGCTATTCTAAATGTTTTATTGCTTAACTTTGGCATCATTTAATAAATAATAGCCTTAAAAGTGATTAAGCCTCCATATTAATAGCTTGATATAAAGGGGGATATTATGCTCTGTTTTTTTTTTTATCAAATTGAATAGAGTCTTTGTGTGTGTGTGTGTCATACTTATTATAAAACCCAGGTTGTGTGTGTGTGTGTCTGTACATTTATATATTGGATCGGATTTCCTACATTTTTCAATCGATTTCAACAAAACTTCACAGGACTATGTAAAATTGCCTTGCGGTGGTTCTGACAGCGCCAAAAATTGTAAAAACACAATTGTTTTTGCATGAAATCAATTTGAAAACATGATTAAGAGGAATCGCGAGAATGAAAGGGGGACAACTCATATCAAGTTATACTTATTATAAAACCCAGGTTGATTGTGTGTGTGTTCATTTATATATGGGATCGGATTTCCAACATATTTCAACCGATTTCAACAAACTTCACATATTTTTGGCAGGTAGTGTTTCTTATTGTCTTGCACATTTTTTTTTTTACATTCAGAATGCTTTAAAAATTCCATTTACAAGACAATTGTTTATAATAAAATACTATTCAATCAGTAGACTCATAACGATTGAAAACAATGTTTTTGTTTCAGTTTGGGTTTGACCAATTCATAAAAAAAAAACAAATTAAGACATGCGTGTCCTTAAACAATAATCTTTCTCAATTTTATTTTTCAGTCTTTATGATCGTCGATACTTGATCTATCTCTTACTGTTACATCCCCGGGCAATGCCGGGCTCTACTGCTAGTATATATATATATATATATATATATATATATATATATATAAGCTGAACATAGAAGTCAACACTTAGAGGCAATAGTCTGTTTCATGATGCACTCGTGGTCTGACAATTGCATCTAGCATGAAACAGACTGTCGCCTCTAAGTGTTGACTTCTATGTTCACTTTTATATTTACACACGCTCTATCTCTGATATTGAGCACTTTATCCCATAGATATAGCACATCTTAAGACTATATTTCTTATATATATTTATTTTCATTAGGGACTATAAATAAGTGATTACCTCCCAATTCAGTTTATTTATTAAATTCAATTCTTTCAAGTTTTAAATCATCATAATTTGGATCTATATTCGATATTTAGTCCATTCAGCACTTTGTCTGTCCATCATTTTGTCTATCAACACTTTTTCTGCGCATGAATAAAGATGGCAGAAGGAGCCAGGTACTTCCTGGTTTGGTAGAATGAAGGGGACCATTTTCCTGTCTGAGGTCTAGAGTGGATTTGAGTCCCAATAGACATTCAAAGCATGGAGTCTCCAGCCCGGATATGGTAGTAATACCCCCATTTTAAGTATAATCTGACTCTTGTAAAGATAATGCATTGCAGAAGTCAAGTAGTTTCTGGATTGGTAGAATGCACCAAACATATTTCTATTTGAGGTCTGGAGTGAATTTGAGTTCTAATAGACATTCAAAGCATAGTCTCATTGAGTGGGCAACCATTTTGAGTGCAGAAAACTCAGTCTGCTTGACAATGAAATGATACTAGCTTGACTACCGAGGTCTTGAAAGTTAGAAGACTGTTTTGTTTTTGTATTGAGCTGTTAGATTTAGATCAGAGGAGAGATCAGCTGCCAGAAACATTTTGATTTTTGGAATATTTGCTAATGATCTGAAAATGTTGCAAAGCAAATTATTAAAAGAAAAATGGTAGTAAAAGTGTAAGACCAGGAAAAGAGCTTTAGGGGGAGGCCTGTATTGATCTTTCCTGGGTTTCAGAAAACTGGCCATTCATTACTTTATCCAAGAGAAAAGATCTGGCAGAGATCTGTCTATAGTTCTGAGATGAGGTATGTACATTATTCAGACTATTGTCCTCATCTTTGTTGCCATATTTATTATGTTTAGGCCGTAGTACGCTTCAGCCTTATTTTGCTCACTGGGGTAGACCGTTCTAATTCCATGTGCCATGTTTAATGGATGTCAGTTATCAGTTATCTCCTGTTAATTTCCCTCTGAAAGTTCTCCACTGCCTTAACCAGGTATTAAACTCACACTCTTTGGGTCCTGTCACTGGATCTAACCAATGCCTTTATCCACTGTGACGTGTGTCCTTGAGGACATCTGTGTATGAATTTCTGGGTATTACAAACCTGATGTCTTCAGCAACCATTTTTTACCAGTGCTCATATTGCAATTTTTTGCTGTTATCATTGCATGTTTTTACCAGAGCTAATATTGCAACTTTTGTTGTTGCTATCGCTTTTCTCTGGCACTCCTTATTACTGGTTCCCATATTGTATTCATTTCTATGCTTGGTCAGCTCAGGAGATTTTTGTGGCCTAGCATATGTGCTGATTCCTTAAGTTTACGAATTTTCCAAACCATTAAACAGTCTACCCAAGTGAGCAAAATAAAGGGTTAAGTTCGACGTTCCAACCATCCTTCAGAGATGTTGTAGTTGGAGAGCTTGTGGAGCAACCCCCTTAAGCTAGTCCCTATCAAAATACATTCAGATATGTAAGCCAATGACTCTTGTGATCAAGATACCATCAAATGCTTCACTGACTGTATGTAATGACAGTTAAAACATCAGCAGTGAACAGTTATAGAAAGGTGAAGAGATCAGTTCTGAAATTAGAAAAAGCTAATCACTATTGTCCTCATCTTTATTGCAATATTAACCTTCAATTTCTGTCTATATTTCTGAGATTAAGTATTATAACTATTTACACTACTTACATCATTCAAACTGTTGTCCTCATCCTGCTATATATTTAGAAATTCTTGATAAAATCCAAAGAATCAGGAATATTTTTGTGGCCTGTTAGAGGCCAGAGAGAAAGACATGGAAAGAAGACAGGTTGAACAAGTGTATTGAAATAACAGAACACATATACAAAATAAGAGTGTTACAAGTCAGCAAATAAAGTGACCATCCGAATGGTCAGGTTACACTGTGTCCCAAATGCCTCCACTTGGAAGTCTCGTGGGTTATTATTTATGAAGCAGGAAGAGTTCATTCTAAGATAGATAAGTTACCATAACAAATATTTGTCCTGATCTGCAAAAATTTAAATGCAATATCAATCATTATCAACCGTCTTCTTTATTCCTCCTTTATTGTTTTTTCTCCTTCATAATGTTTCCATTTTCTAATCCTTTCACACCCAGTAGCTCCTTGAGTCTTAGTGGGTTTACTACTTTGTATTTTTTTTTTTTTTTAATCCCTACAATCTTAAGATTACATCACTTCAAGAAATCTGATAAGACACATCTTTGTCTTATGCTCCTTTCTATTTTTATGTATTTGCTCAGTTCATACTTTTTCTTTATTATATGGGAATTGCTACAACTTCTAAGAAAAATAGTGGAGGGATTTCCCATTGCTTTCTTCACAGTTATGAATTTAAAAATTATCACTCTTCAAAATTGCCTGCCACCCACTGCTTGAGAATGCAGTCTTCCCTGCTATTCCATCTACCCAAAATCTTTTCAACTAGACAGTCAAACTCTCTGCCTCTGAGCAGAGAGGAACCTGGATGAGGCTCAGCTGAAGGGGAGAGTCTAGTTCGGGGAGCTTTACCAACCCGATCCCATTATGCAGGTTCTACGGACATTTTTTGGCTAAGCCTACAGGCTCGGAGAATCCATGTTAAACCTGGCCTTGTGCTACATGCAAACCTCGGTGGTGGTGGGGGGGCTAAATATAGTCTTCCTTGCTATTTAACTCGTAAATAACTGGGTATGACGATAAACTACATCTGGCAGCAAGGCCACTGATTTGGATATTGGAGCTTTTGTGGAGAATTTAACCACCTCTTAATTTTTGTTGTTCCCAGGTTTACCCTGATCTGGTGCGGTAGCACCTGTTAGAATCCTACAAACTGTAGAAACTACATCTGGCACCAAGCCCATTGGAGGTTTTCTGGAGCATGGAACCACCCCTTAATTGCTGTTGTTCCCAGGTCCACTCTGATCCAGGGTGGTAGCTCCTGTTTGAATTCCAG